ACAAACGAGCTCCCGGCGGGGCTACATCCCGTTCTGGGAACCGCACCCCTGGCATCCGCCCTTTCGCCAGTGGAACCACAGCCCGCGGCCGTTCCCCTGGCGCCAGAGGGAGTCTGCAGGGGGGTTGCAGAGCGGGGAGGGAATTCGGGGAGCTCTCCCAGGGTGGGAACCTGGACACGCAGGAGGAGCAAGGCAGCGCTGCCAGCTGATAGATCAGCGCAAGGAAGGCAGGCGGCAGGGAAACTTCCCCCTACAGCTCAGCCACCACGGACAGCTCGGCTGCCCTTCCAGGTCTGGCCCGTGCGGCATCCGCTATTATTCTACACCTGGGCCAGCCCTCCCCGCCCAGGGCACCTAAATCCTGATCCGCCGTAGCCCTGCCGGTGGGGTCTGCAGAGAGGAGAGAACTGTCCCTGGGGTTTGGATGTATCCCCCAAAACTTCATCTCCACGATGTTCATTAGGGTTTTGCTTCCCCTTCTGATGTTCTAACACTAGCCGGCGATGAGATGGGGAGGATGTGCTGGTTAGTCAAACTCTGCTCACAGTTCCAGAAAAGCTGTTTCTGAGGCAGAGCAGTGAACAACTGCACTGCCGGGCGCCATCATTAGGGTTCAGAGTTAACCACCGACAAGAGGAATGCAGGCAGCCAGGGGCCCAGTAAATTCTACCTGCCTGCAACCTGCAGGGCTCAGCCAGAAGGCTTTCTCCACAGAGGCTGGACTTTAATGTTGATCCTGGGGTCAGCAAAGAAGTGCTAGGAGGGGGCACGGCTGTGTGCCAGCTCTATCCAACCATGCTGAGAGCTATAGCTAGTATGCCCGAGGGCATAGCTTTTTCTTCCCCATAGAGACAGCTCCCTTCCCATCCCCCTGCTCTTTCTCATTGCTGCAGTACAGCCTGGCCTAGCTTTTCCCACCTGTTTAGACTGCTGAGCATCATGTGTCTGTACATGGTGCCGCGTGTCAATACCATGCACCTTGCAGGGGCTGGTGCTGGACTGCCACAACTCTACCTGATGGGCCGCTGGTCCGAGTAGTCCATCTCGTAGCTCTGCACAGAGTCCGTGTAGGAGTCGCGGGAACTCTGCTGCTGGTGCCTCATGGGATACTGGTGGACCGAGGCGTTGGGCTGGGAGGTGGTGTAGTATGGAGGCGGGATGCTATTGCTGGTCTCGCTTCGGTAATCGCTGTCCCGGTCGTCCATGGTGCTGTCGGGGTCGTCATCTGCAAAGGGCCGGGTGACACCAGTCAGTGTGTGGCACAGGAAGGGCAGAGCCCACAGCACGGCAGAGATGCCTGAGACAGCCACCGTCAAGGACAATGCCAGCCCCCCGCCTCTAGTGCCCAGCTGGCATCAGTGAGAACTGTGCCACTGCTCCAAAGGCCCCCACCTCTGTGGGACTTTCTCCTAGGAGGCTCAGTGGGAGGAAACTGACCAAGGCTAGGGAGGGGCCTGGGTCTGGCGGGCACAGATGCCCAGGGAGCTGCCAGTGCCCAGCAGCTCTGGGTATCTGGCTCCATGCGTGTGTGGGGAGGGGGGGGGACTGGCATGTGCTGAGCATACAGAAAAGTTTAGCTGCCCCGGTGCACTCCAGAAGCAACCCGCCACTGTGCGCCCGCTCAGCCGCCCGTGCAGACGGCTGGCAGAGGTGCACCCTGTGGCCGGGCACCGTGCCAGCTCCCCAGTCCGCAGAACTCTGTCCCACCCAGGGCTGCTCCCCCCCGGCAGCCGTCCCTGTGCTCTCTCCCTTCTCCCAGAGGGAGTGGGCCCTGCGGCGGGTCCCCTTGGGCCTGACCCCTGTGCTCGGCCGTAGAGCAGAGCAGGGGAGAGGAATCACGGCTGGCAGAGGTGCACCCTGTGGCCGGGCACCGTGCCAGCTCCCCAGTCCGCAGAACTCTGTCCCACCCAGGGCTGCTCCCCCCCGGCAGCCGTCCCTGTGCTCTCTCCCTTCTCCCAGAGGGAGTGGGCCCTGCGGCGGGTCCCCTTGGGCCTGACCCCTGTGCTCGGCCGTAGAGCAGAGCAGGGGAGAGGAATCAAGGGGGGAATGGGGCAGCCG